TTTCTTTTTTAACACTCTGCTTTACCAGGCAGGCTGTTCTAAGGACTGGTCCCTTGTCACAACCAGCCTAAAATACATGACTCTGAAGCACCATCCTCACCTCAATGGAGCATTCTGCATACACTTCCAGCACAGAATTGTTCATCCTTTTGACAGTCCATAGAATATTCCCTATTCTCTACAAACACCACAATTCAAAGGCGTCAGTACTTGGTCTCCTATTCATTGCCCAACTCACCAGTTAAAGCCCTAATTAGCATCTCAGAATATCCACTTTCAAGCCCCATAAAACGTTGTAACCATGCTATTGCCCCTGCTCATTCCTCACCAAACACCCCTAAATAAGACCATGCCACTCACTTCTCTACCAAACACACGTTTTCTTCAAAGCACCTGATGCATCTGTAGTTTCTTGCATATTTGTCACCTGTCTTCTCCACTGCAGCTGGTGAGGAGCATGCCAAGGGTGTGTGCTCAGCTTTCTGTCCTGTGTAGAGCTCAGCACACTGAGTGGACAGAAAAGGACATGCTTCTCTGGAGGCTTTGCAGTGATAACAGGTCCCTCCCATTCTATGGATTTGGTATCTTTTTCCTTGAATCCTAAGAGGGTTATCGCTTGATACAGTATCTTAATGTCTGTCTAGTTAGCTAGTGTTGCTGTAAAGAAATAAAAATGAATTGTTTAAGAAAGCAAGTTTATCCCCTCACCATGTTAGAGGCTATCAGGGCACTGACTCTCCAGAAAAGCTCTCCCTATCTCGCTTTCTCTCCGTGTCAGTTCTGAGGGAGGATCCTTGTCTCTTTCAGCTTCTGTTCTTTGATTCCTTGGAAATCTTCACATGCCACCTGTCCACCTCTCCAGTTTGTGTTTGATTCTGGTTCTGATCTGATCTTTTTATATCTCTGATCAACCTACACTAATGTGGCCTCATTAACACATAAAAAAAAAATCCTGTTCCTAAACTCATCTCACCTACAGACATGGGATATTAGATCCCAGTTCATATTTTGAAGACAAAATTAAATTCATCTCAGTGTCTTCTGTTGTGGTTATTAAGTGCCGTCGAGTCACAGGCGACTCATAATGACCCTGTGAAGGAGAGTCCTCAAGCTTGTATGTCTTTCATCCTCTCTCCAGGTTCATAGGGTTTCCTAAGAGGCAAGCTATTAAGGAAGTGGATGCCACTCCTCCTTCCAAGCTTCTTTTAATCAGGGAGCTCTAGCCCACACTGTCTGCATTGGGTAACCAGCCATTAACAAATTTGATACATCAGTGTCACAGTGTTCAGCCTAACAGTAAGCACAGTTACTGCCATACAGCAAGTGTCTTCTAGAACATAATAAATTTTGTTTGAGTCCTACACTATTATATATATTTTCCCAGCAATTAAAGCTGCATTTGTAAAAGTATCATGCCTGTTTTTGAAGCAGGTGAGCCACCAGCGTCTACAAATGCATCATATGCCTCGCATAGAGAAGGACCACTGAGAAAGGTATTGAAACCATGGGATAGTTTTCATTTGATGGTCACTGAACTTGAAAATGGAGCGTGTTCCAATACTGCTTTAACCTGGGAAGCCCCATGCTAACACTGCTGTGGAGAACTGTTGTTGTTATGTGCTATCAAGTTGTTTGTGACTCATAGCGACACTATGTACAACAGCCCTGAAACCTACTCTATCCTGTGCCAACTTTACTGTCTCTGAAACACCTACCTTCATTAGTCTAGTCACTGTATCAATCCATCTAATTAATGGTTTCCCTATTTCTCCATTATTTCCACCCTTCCAAGCATGATTTCCCTCTCCAGGAACTGGTCCCTCCTTGTAACATGCCCAAAGTATATCAGACGAAGTCTCAAATTCCTTGCCTCCAAGGAACAGCCTGGCTTCACCCTCTCTAGGACGAACCTGTTTGTTCTCCTGGCAGTTCATGGTATATTCAACAGTTTTCTCCAGTACCATAGCTCAAAAGCATCAATTCTCCTTCTATCATCCCTAGTCATTGTCCAGCTTTCTGATGCATAGCAAGCAATTGCAAAGACTGTGGCCTGGATCAGGCACACCTTAGTCTATAGACTGATGTCATTGCTCTTCAGTACTCTGGAGAGGTCTCTGATAGCAGATTTTTCCCAGTGCAATTCATCTCTTGATTTCCTGGCTGCTGGTACCAAGAATGTTGATTGTGGAGCCAAGCAAACTAAATCTCTTCATTTATCATGATGCTGCCAATTAGCACAGTGGTGAGAATCTTTGTGTTCTTGATGTTGAGCTTCAATCCATACTGAAGGCTGTAGTCCTTGATCTTTTATTAGAGGAATTTTTTTATTTATTAATTTTTATTATTATTTTTGTGTGTGTACCGTCAAATCAGATCTGACTGGTACAGGAGGAGATTATCCCTCCTCCTTCAGCAGAGCATCTGGTGGATTTGAACCATGTGCCTCTGGGATTGCAGTGCAGCTTCTTGCCACTAGGCCACAGAGCTCCCTAGTCCTTGATCTTTTGTAGCAAGTGCTTCAAGTCCTCAGTTTCAGCAAGCCAGGTTGTGCCATCTGACTAACATAGGTTGTTGATGAATCTTCCTCCAATCCATACGGCCCAGCCTACTGGATGATCTGTGGAGAACTATATAAGCTAATTTTCCCCCTGAATTTTAGCTTCAGACCCACTCTCTTTGCTTAATTATGTATTTTATAATAAGAGCTGCCCTTTTTTGAGCACGTAGATGATCCTACATCTGCTAGTCAATTTAGAAATCTTACCCATGCCTGCCTCCCAGTGGACACTTTCCCAGGACACTCGACAGATGGAAAGCCAGGAGAGACACTCTATACCAAATCCTAGGTCCAGACCCTTTCCTGCTGGCCAAGTGTAAGCAGATATATGGGCAAATGTAGGTGTGGGTATCCCTGGACCTACTGGACAGGTCAGTCTGTAGGAGGGAAGGAAAAATTCTCTTCTTGGAGAGGCCAGTGGGCCCCACATACTCCCTAAAGTCCTTGTGCTGGCCATGAAGTTCCCACAGATACTTGTTCTAACAGTTCTTTCTCTATCAATCAGATGTTATTTTTTTTGTAAAATTTCAGGCCCGGTTTGCTAGCCTGACCTTGTTGAATAGATGTTTGTGTTCATTTTTGATCACCAGCTTAACTCCTTGCTTAAGTCCCTTGAGGATACAGCTCTCCAAGTGTCCAATATTTCTTAGCCCAGCTAAGAAGAGTAATAGGGGAATGTATCTACTTGTTATCAGGTGTTTGAGAGGCTGACCTTGTTCTGTAGGGCTCTGGAGGGCAGGGCAGATACTCAAGATTAGTGTTGCAAAAATGGAATGGAGGTGGCATTTTGCACACATCCATGTTACTCTACAAGGTGTTCTCACTTAACTGTGTTAACCCAGGATCACTGCCATCAGGAACCTCACAGAGGGGCAGGCAGGCACGCAAGTAGACAAGCCAACAAGGTGGTGAGTACTAGGGTGCGTATTTAGTGGGGACAGCCAAGGCACATCTGGCGGTCACATAAAAACTTGCCACAAGAGGCGTGTCTGAATTAGGCCTTCATGAGAGCACACAGATGACAAGTAGAGGTGAGTGAACATCTAGTCATTCAATATGAGTTACCAGAAACTTGGGACTTTGCATACCTACCTTGGTATGGTCAGCTGTACCTATGCACGGTCAGACCTGAATGAACAAGGTTCACCTGCCTGAGCATGGTCAGACCTACCTGTGCACAGTCAGACCTGCCCGAGCATGGTCCACCTACCTGAGCATTGTCAGACCTTCCTGAGTGCATGCTACATAATCATATGAGCCCCTTGGATCCCCTGCTGATTGTGAATTGAGGGTTAGTCAGGGCCCACAGCTTTCTCTTCTGACATTTTGCACTGAACTGGCCTCTCAAAGTTGTGGACTAGTGTTCTGAGAAGTTAAGATGTGTGACTTGGGAGGTCTTCCCTCTGCAGTTTGTCAGTTTTATGAACCCTCTACACTGCAGCCCCCCCCTCCACAGTGCCCTGTGTACCCTCAGTAAAGAGGATCACTGTTACAGTGCAGGCAACCTGGATGGCCTACGACATGGTGGTGATCCGCACCAACCCTGCACTGGCTGAGTCCATGCGGCGACTGGAAGATGCCTTCCTCAACTGCAAGGAGGAGATGGAGAGGAATTGGCAGGAGCTGCTCCATGAGACCAAGCAGAAGCAGTGACCGTCTACCCCACCACTTGGCCCAGGCCACGGCCACGTGCACAGCCCCACAGTCAGTGCTGTCCTCAGTAAAGTTCTTTTCATGCATATGGTGAGGACCCCTCTCCTTCCTGAATGCTGTCTGCCTGCCACAGAGCAAACTCTGTGACAGAGTGTAAGCACAAATCGGGGACGAGTTAGCACATGCCAGTGGCATGGGGTGGAAGGGAAGGATATCAGCAACAGACTGAGGAGCAGTGGGGTGCTCTCTGGGAGTGCCCAGCTGCCCAGAGATTGACAACAGAGACTGGGACCCCACTTGACAGAACACGAAAGAGAAGTCGCGTGCCCTGACACAGCACACAAGTGCAGATCCAAACTGAACCAGTCTCTCAAACACACTTGATCACAAAAACTCCTGGAACCCTGGGGGAAGACAGCCCAGCCAGTGCCTGCCCTTGGGAGTGGTGGAGGGGGGCCCTGACAGGGCCCCCAGGACCCAGCCATGAGGAGGAACATTTGAGCTGAACGAGAGTTTTTAGCCAGGTAGAGTTGGGGGCCAGGACCTACGGCAAAAACATTGAAGGGAAGACTGAGGGGGAACAAGGCTGGGGGCCCCTCAAGCTGTGCTACTGTCAGGGGAGGTGGTGGGAGCCTCATTCCAGAAACCCAGATCATCTGAAGCACAACGTTTATTAGGACAGACAAGAGCAGAAAGTTCTAGATCCCACCTCGGCCCCCAGCCCTGAGTTCCCACAAATACACCAACACAGGGTTTCCTAGCACTCCCACAACTCCACACCCTCGAGGTCTCAGAGGGCCGTCTGCCGTGGGTCAGTGTGGGGCAGCGTCAGGACGAACGGGCAGAGGACACCTTTACTCCCCACAGGACAGGGCTGCAGCTCGCTGGCCTCGAACTGCGCTGTGGCGTCGGAGACTGCGAAGGTGGCGGTGACCTGGTGGTTGAGGCAGTAGATGGTGGTGCCCAGCACAGCACAGCGCAGAGGCGCGGGGTCAGGCAGTGGCAGCGACGCAGCGCGGCTCCAGGAGCCGGTCACCGTGTTGTAGCGCATCACCGAGGCGCCCACGCCCCGCAGCACGTCGAAGCGGTAGAGGAAGCCGCCCAGCGCCACCATGTCGCTGGAGCGCCGGTGGCTAGCACTATAGGGACACTCGTCCCACGCGTCCTTTGCAGGGCTGTACCTGAGCAAGCGGTAGAAGAGGTGGCCTCCAGTGACGTAGATGTCGCCACGGCAGGCCACCGCCTCATGCGCCACAGGGAAGGTGCCTACAGGGAGGGGCGCGCGCGTGGCCCAGGAGTCAGTGCGGGGGTCATAACGCTCCATGCTGTAGAGGCATTCCCCACCGATGGCATAGAGCAGCCCGTCCAGGGCCACCAGCTTGAGCTGGGCTCGAGCCTGCTGCATGGGCCGCAGCTGGCTCCAGATATCGGTCAGGGGGTTGTAGCAGAAGACCTGGTTGGAGCAGACAGCCTTGACCCCAGAGCCGCGGATGCCCCCCGCCAAGAACAAGTAATTGTGCATGATACAGAGGCCACAGCCTCGGAGGGGTACCTCCGCTGGCACGCGAGTCAGAGGCCGCCACACATTCTCTCCAGGATTGAACACATGCAGGTGCGCTCGAGACTGGGGCGCCTCCTCGCTTTTCGGGGCTCCAGGGAGCCCCGGGCGGCTCACCTGATAGAGGCTGGGCAGCATGAGGACCCCGAGCACAGCCTGGCCGCGGCCGGTCCGCAGGCTCAGGATGCGCTCTCGGTCCGCCCCGCCCAGCTGCCGGTACAGGTGCGGGTCCCCTAGCACATGCAGCAGGTTGTCACTCATAACCGCATAGGTGTCCTGCACCAGGCCACGTGCACCGTGCTGCTGAGCGAAGGCCAGCACTTCCAGGCAGCTACCCAGGTCCAGCCGCTGTCTCAGCGTCGCCACTGTGGCGGGTAGCTCCGGGGGCGGAGAGCTGGGCTTCGGGTACCCCTCAGCTACGCCCCAGCCCCCTGGCCTCTGCAGAAAAACCATGAGTTTGCGCGCCTCCTGCTGCTTCTCGGTGAGAGCGCCCTCGCAACCGGTGGGCTGGGCCTCCTGCCTCAGAGACCTTCCCTGACGCGGCCTAAGAGCCGCCTGGCCCACACCTGTGCTCTTGGCCGCCTCACACAGGCTGCGTTTCCGGCGCCGCCGGGGCGCTGGTCTGGGCTCAGTGGCGCGGGGTGGGGATCCCTGGCTTTTCTCCTCGACTCCGGCTTGACCTGGTCCCTGCACTCTGTCTACAGTGGGAGCCCTGGCTGGCTGGGCGCCTCTCGGCTGGCATGGAATCTCCTGTGTAGCCTGCTCCACTGGAGACCTGCGCTTATTCTCGGGCCTGGGGGCTGCACCTCTGGTGGAAGGAATTGAAGTGCTGTTGTGGGAGCTGGCTTGGTCTTTGGATTCTGCCACGGGCGCTTTCCCGGGTCCCCTTTCTTGACTGGGGAAGGGATGGCTTTTAAGAACCATAGCAATGAGATTTCCCCAGCTGCCTAAGGTCTGCCTCTCCTGACAGCTCTTAGATGGGGTAATTCTGGACTCCCGTGAGGTAGGTCTCCCCACAGGACTTGGTGGAGCTGAGGCTAGAGTTGGGGTTAGGGCTATGATTGATGTTGGGACTGACCTTGGAATTGAATTTGAGACCTTGGTTGAGGCTGGAGCTAGAGCTGGCCTTGGAGTTGGGGTAGGGGCTGGAATTGGGGCTGGGGTTGAAATTGGGTTTGGGGTTGGAGTAGAGGCTGCAGTTGGGGCTGGATTTGGAGTTTGGATTGAGGCAATTAGAGTTGGAGTTGAGACTGGATTTGGGGTTGGAATTGAATTTGAGGCTGAGGTAGGAGTTGGGGCTGGAGTTGAGGCTGAGGTTGGGGTTGAGGTCAAGGATGGGGTTAGGGTTGAGGCTGGGGGTGGAGTTAAGGTTGAGGTTGGGATTGGGGTGGAGGCTGAGATTGAGGTTGGAGTTGAGGTTGGGATTGGGGTGGAGGCTGAGGTTGAGGTTGGAGTTGAAGTTGAGATTGGGGTGGAGGCTGGGGCTGTAGTTGAGGTTGACGTTGAGGCTCGGGCTGGGGTTGAGGTTGAGGCTGGGGTTGGGATTGAGGTTGTGGTTGAGGCTTGGGCTGGGGTTGGGTTTGAGGTGGATGTTGAGGCTCGAGCTGGGATTTGGGTTAAGATTGAGGCTGAGTTTGAGGCTTGGGCTGAGGCTGGAGTTGAGCCTGAGGCTAGGGTTGGGATTGAGGATGAGGTTGAGGCTTGGGTTGGGGTTGGGGTTGGGGTTAAAGTTGAGGCTGAGGTTGGGATTGCTCTGAGATGCTCATCCTCGGAAGGACCCTGACTACATCCAGAAGGAGCCATGTCTGAAGGGGAGCCAGCGATGGCATATCGGCAGCCCCCACGGAGATGAGCTGTGGGTGAGGAGGTGGATAGGGGCTGCTCAGAAGGAATGTCTGTGGAAGGGGTGGCTGTGGGGCTCGGGGTGGGATGGTGGCCTAGTGTATGCCCTGAGAAGTGTGGGACTGGTTTCTCTTCATCCAGAGGCTTCCCAGATCCCTGGTGAGCAGTCTGAATGTCTAGTACTTGCCCATGGCTCTGATGCCCGCGGACCTCCTGTCCAATACTGTGCCCCCCTTGCTCTTCTGTCCTGTCCAGCCCTGGGATCAGAAAAGAGTGGTCATCTCTGAGACTGCTCACCCCAGCCTTGGCCAAGCTAAAGGTCCCTCCATGTTGTCCCTCTAGTGACAGATCTGTGGATCCTGGAGCTTGGCTGAAGCTTCTGGTGGCCAGGACCCCTGTCCTTGCCCATGGCCAGTCTTCCTCTGGAACACTGCCTAGGCTCCCAGGGCTCTCCCCACTCGCACCTGTTGTAGCTCCTGACTCCAGAACCAGTTCAGGGACTGGATGGGGTCTATTGTTCCCACGATTCCTCTCTGAGCCCTCGGCTGGAGACCGAATCTGAGGGGTGTGTGATGTAGGCCATTCCTGGGGAGCAGATCCCTGAGAGGAGGGAGGTGTCAGGGAGTCGGTCAGCAACCTACAGGCCGAGGCATCCACAGCAGCAGCGTCCACGGCATCCCACACACTCACCACGTTACCCAGCCGCAGGGGATCCGGCCTGGGGGGACGGCTGGGCCTATCTCCTGAGTCACCATCCACCTGCCACTGCCCGTTACCACGGCCTCTCTTCCGCAAATGAGGCAGGCCCGCCCATGGCTGCCAGGACCTGATGTCCAGTTGAGCTGTGTGTCTGAAGGCCTGGTATGCAGACTCCTTGGGACAAACTATCTTAGGCTCATTCTCCGCTTCTCCAACATCTCGAGGTGTGAAGTGGATGAGGATGGGGCCAGACGTCCCACCTGCTCTGCTCCTCCCCAGGGAGACAGTGCCTGGTGCTGTGCTAAGCAGCTGTCCATGGGCTGCACTGCTGACTGTGTCTCCAGGCATCTTGGATGCAGACCCCACTGTAGCTGTCAAGTCCCCCATGCAGGACTCCTGGGCCTCAGCCCCTGAAGCTACAGGGCTCCCCTGGTTATGTCCTGGAGGATCCAACTTCCTCTGCCGTGGCTTCTTGATGCTGTCACTGACCTTCTTTGGGGGCAGAGCCTGCCCAGATCCCGTTACTTGAGAAGGCTGGATCTGGGGGGCTGCATTCGCTGGTCCTGTCATTTCCTGGTCCTGTCCGGAACTGAACCAGTGCAAGGCCAGTGCTGTGGCTGCCACCACAGCCAGTGCCAGCAGAGTCAGCACAGCACTGTCCCAGTCCTCATCCCCATCCATGTCCCAGCCCCACGGGGGGCCAGCCAATTCCAAAGCGCCCAGCATCATGGCTTTGGGTGCAGACTCCAAGGGAAGGCCTGAATGGACAGGGCAGTTCCTGGGCTGCTGTCCTTGAAGATGAAACCTCAGGTAGGGTGGATTATGGCACTCCAAGTGTTGCTCTGCCTGGTTTTGATGAGTGGCTTATAGCTGTGTGGACAGGCCCAGCGGTGCGTTGAGACCATCCCACGCAGGCTGCACCAGCTACAGGTCTCGTTGGCAGCCACACCCCACTCCCTCTCTTTATCCTCTTCCGTCAGTCCCTTGGAGCAGTTGGCCCGTTCCTCACTCCTGTGCGAGCATCCTAGCAAGCTGCTGCCCCTTGGACCCTCCCACTCCAAGCGCACCCCTCCTCAGCGTTCCTCCTCCAAGTTGAGCCTTCAGAAGGGGGCTCTGCAGGGACAGGTTAATGTGAGAAGATGCTATCTTGGCCTGGCAACGTGATGCAGCCCCGATGAAATTACCAGAAACCGGAGCAGCTGGTTCCACTGGGGGAGGGACACTGGGCAGGTCTACAGGACCAAGGTGGCCAGGCTGAGCATGGTGTCCTGCACAGGGTGAGCAGGGGCAGCATCTCATCTTCTAAGGCCTGTGGCCCTGGCCCACCCTTCCTTACGGCCTAGAACTCCCTGCCCTGGTACTGCAGAGGTGGCCAAGAGACAGTAAACAGCATGATGAACATTCAGAATTTCTTCTTTGGAGACCAGCTAGTCTGTTATGCCCTTCCAAGCCTCCCCTCTGCCTCCTCCACAACCCAACTGCTTCCCTGAGAAGCCAGGTGCAGCCCATTTGTGCTTCCCAGGGTACCAGCACCCTTGGTGCCCAAATATCAGACCTTTGCCAGGTTCCTTCCTGGGCCACATCTGCAGCCCCTCCAGTTTTACTTAGGGACCACACTCTGCCCCACCTCTCACCTGGGCTCAGTCCCACACACCTCCCAGGATGGCACCAAGTTCCTTCATTGGAGCCAGCTACAAGCTAAGCCTCAGGACAGGGGTCCCTGTCAGAGGAAGGGCTGTACAGTTATGTGACTCTCTCCCTCTGGGGCCTGGGCTGCTTCCTGACTCATGCACATATGGCCCAGCACCCCTGGCACCCAGCCTGGGCTCTGTGAACCTTGGGTATCACACCGCATCTTGTCCCTTCCCAGCTGACTCCCTGGGGCATATTAGGTAACAGTGAGCAGGTAGGAGGCTGGTCCCCAGACTGTAGGGTGGACCTCAAGTTGGAGGAGGAATTTCTAGACATATTCCTGATTCTAAGTCCAATTTTGGACCTGGCCTTAATTAAGTTTGGGGCCCAGAGGCTTTAGAAAGAGGGAGGCTACTCCCTAGCCTACTCCACTATCATCTCTGTCACCTCTTAAAAAGCTCCTGGAGACCACTCCTTGTTTGCCTGGGTCCCCAGCCTGTGTGGAAAGGAAGAGTGTCCACCCCAAAGTATCTGTAAGCACTGTTGTGGGAGGACCGAATACAGAAAACAATCCACACCAGTGTCCCCAGGTGCCAAATCCCCATGGGTCCTGCAGACATGGTAAGCAAGGAGGATCAGCCATCCTCTGCAGAAGGTACTGCCTCACTTCATTCAAATCCAATCTGCAGGGAAGGTTTGCTCTACAGGAAGATGCTTACTGGTAGCTGGATGTGTGCTGCCTCCCCCAAGCATGGTCATCTTGCCCTGCTGGGTCCTGGGAGAGGGGGAAGGTGTGATGCACTTCCAAGCACACAAGGTCTCTGTTCTCAGAGTGACACATAGACCACTATTCTCAGTGTCCTCAGTCACCTGCAGTTCACTAGTTACAATCAAGGGAAAAAAACAGTCAAGAAAATGTGTCCAGATGGGACACCACTTTAGCGTCTGCTTTGAAACCTCTCTTCTCAGCTGTTTTCTGAAACCAGTGTGAGGAAAGGAAAGCCTATCCGTCCAGTCTATGCAGCAAAAAACGGGAAACAGGAAGGAGTTAGCATCCTGGCCTCTGCTTCCTGAAGCCACCAGTGCTGCCAGCACCAATGCCACCCACACGTGCAGAGAGTCACCTGCCAGCTGCTTCACTGTGAGCCCAAAGAGGTGAAGCCACCTCTCCTGGTGACTGACTGAGCCAGGATGGGCTGGGCAGCACCCCACAGCCGTGCTGCTCCAAGCCATTTAGTGTGGGTGAACACAGGGAAAAGAGCGCCAGCAGGATGTCTTCATTCCAGGGTTGGCCACTCCTGAAAGTCTCCTGTCTTCACCCTCAAGGAGCACGCATGTTATCAGGGGCTGTCAGCTAACTCACAGCAAGCCTGTGTACAACAGATTGATGCCCTCCCAGTCCTACCCCCTACAGCTTCACTGTGTGTCACTCTCAGGCTCTCTAATGAGGTTTTTTCCTCTTCTCCAGCATTCTGCTTTTCCTAGCGCAATGTCCTTTTTCAGGAGCTGGATCATTCCCAAAGTATGTAAGACAAATCCCTCCCTCTCTATCTTTAAGGAACATCCTGGCTGCACTCCCTCAGGATAGTTTTGTTTGTTCCTTTAGTGGTCCCTGGATATTCAGTACTCTTCACCAATACCACAGCTCATAGGCATCGATTCTTCTGCAGTTATTCTTATTTGTTGTCTACCATTCAGATGCATATGAAGAAACTGAAAATATCTTAATTTGAACCAGGCACACCTTAGTCTTTAAGGTGACACCCTTGATCTTTAGGACTTTAAAGCGGTCCTTGACAGCAGATTTTTCCAATACAACACATCTTTTGATTTCTTGACTGCTGCTGGTCCTATCCTAATGCCACATTCTTCATGAAGTCCAGCTTCTCAGATTATTTGCTCAGTATACAGACTCCATTGGTATGGAGAGAGGACAAAACCTTAAGGCACACCTAACAAAAAATCCTCTCTGTGAGAGGTTCTTGAAAAGGAAAAGAGCTTTAGTGAGATGGGTTGACACAGTGACTGCCACAATGGGTTGAGCATGACACAATGGGTTGAGCATGACAGAAACCATGGTGATGGCACAAAGGTCAGATATGTCACTCATGGGGCTGCTGTAAATCGTACTTGACAGCACCTAACAACCACAACAGCAACCAAAAAAAGCAAAAAACCGACAGAATTGAAGGAAGAAAGAGTTCACAACATTGTGGAAGATTCCACTTCTCCACTTTCAGTATGGATAGAAAAAAAACGAGATCAACAAGGAAGTGCAGGATTTGAACAACACTATAAACCAGCTAGATTTAACAGACATGTACAGAACACTTCACCCAAAAGCAACAAAACATATATTTTGTATTTTTTGAACATTGAATATTTTATTTCTGTGGTTCTCTCTTGTTCTAGATTGTTGTCATACATATAATGTTTAATCATATATTCCCTCCAGACAGCTCTTCTCATCTGATCTAATGCAGTGTTTATTATCCACTCTTTTCACATTCTTTCCCCAACCCCCATGACTTTCTTATTTTGTAACAGCAGTGTTATGTAGTATTTGTCCTTTTTGTGACTGAGATCTTTTACTCAGCATAATGTCCTCAAGGGTCTCCCATGTTTTGTAATGTTTCATGAGTTCTTTATTTTTTATTGCTGCATAATATTCCATTGTGTGAATGTACCATGGTTTTTCTATTCATTTGTTGGTGGGCACCTAAGTTGCTTCCATCTCCTTGCTTTTCTCAATAATGCAGCTGTAAACATGAGTGTGTATACATTTGTTTTGAGTCATGACTAGTTTCTGTAACTTTTTTTAAGGCACCTGGTGTCATATGACAGGATTTATTAGATTACTAGCTGAAAGATGGGCAGTTCCAATCCTCTGGCCACTTAGTAGGGGAAAGATAGGCAGGCTTCTCTTGCAAAGCATTGTTGTTGTTGTTAGATGCTGTCAAGTTGACTATGACTCCTGTTATTGTTGTTGTTATATGCCATCAAGTCTCCTGCAACTCATGGTGATCCTACATACACTAGCACTGAACCCTGCCCTGTCCAGAGTCAGTCTGTCTCTGACACATATGCCCCTTGACCCCAGTTACTGTGTCAATCCATCTCACCTGACGTATTCCTCTCCTCCTCTCCTGTGCTGTCCCTTGACCCTTCCAAGCATGATGTCCATCCCAAGAACTGGTCCCTCCTAACCATATGTCCAAAGTATGTGAGACAGAGCTTCAAAATACTTGCCTCCCAGAAGCAGCTTGGTTTCACCCTCTCCAGTGCAGACCTTTTTGTTCTCTTGGCAGTCCATGATATGCTGAATACTATTCTCCAGTGCCACAACTTCCTGGCATCCTCAGACATTGTCTAGCTCTCTGATGAATAGCAACTAATGGCAAAAATCATGGCCTGAATCAAGAGCATCTTAGTCGGTAGACTAACATCATTACTCTTTAGCACTTTGGAGAGGTCCCTGACAGCAGATTTGTCTAATATGTCTTTTGATTTCCTGACTGCTGATTCCAAGAGCGTTGATTGTGGAGCTGAGAAAGTTGTAATTGTTAGCAACTTCAGTCTCTTCTCCATCTGTCATGGATGGCCCAGTGAGGAGAATCTTTGTCTTCTTGATGTTGCTCTTCAATCCATATTGAAGACTGCAGGCTTGACCCTCTACAGTAAACGCTTCAAGTCCTACTCAGTTTCGGCAAGCAAGGTTGTGTCATCTGCATAATGCTGGTTAATGAGTCTCTTCAATCCTGATGCCACATTCTTCCTCATAAAGACCAGTCTCCCAAATGATCTGTTCTGCATACAAATTGAAAAGGTGTGGAGACAGGACACATGCCTAATGCAATCCTTTCCTGACTTTGAACCATACAATGTGTCCTTGCTCAGTTCTGAGGACTGCTTCCTGGTCCAAGTACAGGTTTCACATGGACACAATCAAGTGTTCTGGGATTTTCATTCTTCTCAAGGTTAGGCACAATTTGTTGTGATCCACACAGGTCAAATGCCTTTGCATAGTCAATGAAACACAGATATTCCTCTAGTACTCTTTGCTTTCAGCCAAGATCCATCTGATATTGGCGATAATG